GTCTTTGTTGTTACTTTAAAGATATGGGTAGAGGGCCACTTTAAGCAAAGTGCTTTTGTCTCCTGCAGGAAACGCAGATGCCAACATCCAGCTATTGAATAAAATAATCTGTCCACCAGTTTTCAGAACTGTTTTCCACATTTTTATAGTAGTTGCTGTTAAAGCTCCGTACCTCCCAACTTTCTGACATGTGAAAGAGGGACACCTTCCAGCACAATGAGGAAAATGTATCAAAACTGGAGCAGACAGAATCTGGAGCAGTTACCTATAGTAACCAATCAGCTTCTCTCTTCAGTTTGTTCAGTTAAGATTTGAAAATGAAAGAAAGAAGCTGATTGGCTGCCATGCACAGCTGCTCCAGATTCTGTCTGCTCCAGTTTTGATAAATATATTTAGGCAGTGGACACAGCCCTGAAACACCTCCAGTTATGTGGACCATTAAGAATGTCAAAGATGATTGGTTAAACCCAGAACTGTTTGTTTGTTCGCCATTACTTTTCCTTTATACTGACTGTTCCAAATAGTAAACAAGATTATTAAGAGAAAGGATGAGATTTAAGTTGGAATAACACTTTTGGTAGTTAAATAAAAGCGTTCTATAGATATCTGTACATCAGACCAAAGTGAGGGACAACTGAGGGGGAAAGAGGGACAACTGAGGGGGAAAGAGGGACAACTGAGGAAGAAAGAGGGACAACTGAGGGGAAAGGGGGACAACTGAGGGAGAAAGAAGGACAACTGAGGGGGAAAGAGGGACAACTGAGGAAGAAAGAGGGACAACTGAGGGGAAAGGGGGACAACTGAGGGAGAAAGAAGGACAACTGAGGGGGAAAGAGGGACAACTGAGGAAGAAAGAGGGACAACTGAGGGGAAAGGGGGACAACTGAGGGAGAAAGAAGGACAACTGAGGGGGAAAGAGGGACAACTGAGGAAGAAAGAGGGACAACTGAGGGGAAAGGGGGACAACTGAGGGAGAAAGAAGGACAACTGAGGGGGAAAGAGGGACAACTGAGGAAGAAAGAGGGACAACTGAGGGGAAAGGGGGACAACTGAGGGAGAAAGAAGGACAACTGAGGGGGAAAGAGGGACAACTGAGGAAGAAAGAGGGACAACTGAGGGGAAAGGGGGACAACTGAGGGAGAAAGAAGGACAACTGAGGGGGAAAGAGGGACAACTGAGGAAGAAAGAGGGACAACTGAGGGGAAAGGGGGACAACTGAGGGAGAAAGAAGGACAACTGAGGGGGAAAGAGGGACAACTGAGGAAGAAAGAGGGACAACTGAGGGGAAAGGGGGACAACTGAGGGAGAAAGAAGGACAACTGAGGGGGAAAGAGGGACAACTGAGGAAGAAAGAGGGACAACTGAGGGGAAAGGGGGACAACTGAGGGAGAAAGAAGGACAACTGAGGGGGAAAGAGGGACAACTGAGGAAGAAAGAGGGACAACTGAGGGGAAAGGGGGACAACTGAGGGAGAAAGAAGGACAACTGAGGGGGAAAGAGGGACAACTGAGGAAGAAAGAGGGACAACTGAGGGGAAAGGGGGACAACTGAGGGAGAAAGAAGGACAACTGAGGGGGAAAGAGGGACAACTGAGGAAGAAAGAGGGACAACTGAGGGGAAAGGGGGACAACTGAGGGAGAAAGAAGGACAACTGAGGGGGAAAGAGGGACAACTGAGGAAGAAAGAGGGACAACTGAGGGGAAAGGGGGACAACTGAGGGAGAAAGAAGGACAACTGAGGGGGAAAGAGGGACAACTGAGGAAGAAAGAGGGACAACTGAGGGGAAAGGGGGACAACTGAGGGAGAAAGAAGGACAACTGAGGGGGAAAGAGGGACAACTGAGGAAGAAAGAGGGACAACTGAGGGGAAAGGGGGACAACTGAGGGAGAAAGAAGGACAACTGAGGGGGAAAGAGGGACAACTGAGGAAGAAAGAGGGACAACTGAGGGGAAAGGGGGACAACTGAGGGAGAAAGAAGGACAACTGAGGGGGAAAGAGGGACAACTGAGGAAGAAAGAGGGACAACTGAGGGGAAAGGGGGACAACTGAGGGAGAAAGAAGGACAACTGAGGGGGAAAGAGGGACAACTGAGGAAGAAAGAGGGACAACTGAGGGGAAAGGGGGACAACTGAGGGAGAAAGAAGGACAACTGAGGGGGAAAGAGGGACAACTGAGGAAGAAAGAGGGACAACTGAGGGGAAAGGGGGACAACTGAGGGAGAAAGAAGGACAACTGAGGGGGAAAGAGGGACAACTGAGGGGGACAGCTGAGGGGGGAAGAGGGACAACTGAGGGGGAAAGGGGGACAACTGAGGGGGAAAGAGGGACATCTGAGGGGGAAAGGGGGACAACTGAGGGAGAAAGAAGGACAACTGAGGGGGAAAGAGGGACAACTGAGGGGGAAAGAGGGACAACTGAGGGGGAAAGAGGGACAGAAGGATTTGGAATCCAAAAGAGGGACAGTTGGGAGGCATGGATCTCCAAGATAAAGAAAGATTGTTCTGATACAAGAGGTGTGTGTATTCTTACTTGCATCTTGGTGTGTTTTGTGTATTTCTTTCGAATCTGTGTGAAACTTTACTTCTGTGCAGGAGCTTCCTATAATAAAGACCAGTCATTGCTGCCCCATCTCCTTGTGTAGGGTGATCAGGGCCAGCGTTACCATAAGGCAGGTCAGGCGGCCCCCAGAGGGCGCCAGCGGGAGGGGGGCGGAAAAATAGGGCAAGGTTTTGCCACGCGTTCGATCGCACTGTGGGCGGGGGGGCGTTGAAGCGGTGCCATTGAATACAGTGCACCGCCACGCCCCCTCCCGCCCCAAAACGCGGGGGGAAGTTTCACAGCGATCGCGGTGCGTTCCAGCAGCTACCGCTCTGGAACGCACACGCAGCAAAAAGCTGTTCTGATTATTTACATTTTTAATGTATTGCTGGGACTTGTAGTCATATAGCATTAGCTGGTGGCATTCTGCATTGCTGTATAATGATTATACAGCGATGCAGAATAGCACCAACTATGCAGGTCTGCATGTCCCAGCAATAGACTTTATTATAAGTAGGCGCGTGCGTGTGTGCGCTCGCGCAAAGGGGGGGTGGAAAAATGCACCTTCGCCTGAGTTGGCAAAAATCCTTGCAGCGGCCCTGAGGGTGATTGGTCTTGCCCCCCTGTCCTTTTCCACAGTAAACCATTAGTGGGTGGGGCCTGCTGAGTACCTCCCACAGTATTGTTGTCTGCTCAGTCTATGTGCAGCACATACCTGGGTTTGTAGAAGCATTTGGTTCACACAAAGTGAATTTATATACTTTTTGGCTATTGATGAATACATTTAAATTAAAGTATTTGTGATCTCAGGTTAAAGTAACTTTGAGATGAAAAACTTTTACCTCACCCCATTCAAATGAGTCACATGAGCACACACCTCAGATGGCAGGCTGGACAGTGAGGAACTTGCATTTAAGGGCATGCCCTTAAAACGCAATATCCACCGAGACCCTGTCGGCATTCTGTTACACCGACAGTCCTTTTATTGATTGTTGGTTTGGATTTTACATTGATATCTCTTTTGGAGAAGTTCAGAAAACGCTTATATTTGCTACAATTGTGAGTGGTTCCTTATCGTTTCATTTCACCAATAAACGTGGTGATACCGCACATGGGAGTGTGTTTTTCTTTGCTTTTGTTTTTGGTATTAGGGTGCCTTAGGTATGTACTAAGATGATGAAGAGGTTGTAAAGAGGGAGGGGCTTAGAGGATCATTTTTGGGCTCTGAATGCACTCATCCTTTAGAGCAGGGATGGCCAATCTCTGGTCCTCCAGCTGTAGTGGAACTACAAATCGCATCATGAATCTGTCTTTGGGAGTCATGTCTATGGCTGTGAAAATCTTGCAATGGCTCATGGGTTCCCCCCCCCCTTCACTTATCTTCACTCCCCTACAGTATACTGGTAATAATCAATCTACACATTATCTGGTAATGCCAATACCTTCCCTATTCTATCCCACCTAACCATACCGCTCTTATCATACGTAAGGGGTCAATACCCCCCAACCGTCACTCACAGACAAATGGTTACCAGGTGGAAGAGGTCACCATCACCTTTCCTTTCATATCTCCTATATTCCCACCTGCCTTCCGGCCCACGTTTATGATGGTTATTACCACTAGGGTCTAGTATCCAAGGAGAATTAGAATTATAACTTTGTATTATGACAAACTGTTCATCAAGAGTTAATTGTTTTACTTACGTTACCTGTTTTCAAGAAGGAAATGACAGAATATGAATAGAATATGAATATATATCGTAAATCATGTAGCCGGCTGGCTACATGAGGAAACAACATTATATGGGATATGTACAATGTCAACTGCGATGTATTCTGCGAAACTTAATAAATAAATACATGCTTAAAAAAAAGATGTCAGGCAGACGTGGGCAACCAAAATTAAGATAGGGGCTCTGAAAATAGTCTCAACTGTGATATTTACATATGAATAAGCCCCCCCTCCCCTCATTCTCCCCAAAAAATGTCTGTGCATAGGGTTTTGCTTGAAGAAAAGGTGGCAACCCTACTCATGGGATTTGTAGTTCCACAACAGCTTGCGAGCCTGAGTTTGACCACCCCTGCTTTAAAAGGAAGAGGTTCCCTATTGCTACATAGCAGCTCGTGCAATCTTTTGATTCATATTGCCTCAGGAAATATTTAGCAAATTTTATTATAAAAGAAAGCTGCTGTTCTGTGCTGAATGGACGCCTCTGTGGAATCAGCACCCGTGCAGAAATTACATTGCAGAAAATACATTGGCGCCTCAGAGGTTAGCTCTGGGAATTTTCCTCCCATTGGCAAGCCTTCAGCCATCAGCCAATCAAAACAAAGCTTTTCTGCTAACCACGCCCCCTTTCCCTAACTCCCCACCCGGGAGGCCATGACGTCGCCCTGGTGAGAGTCTCTCGACCAATCAGGGGCTGTCAGACCTTCTTTTAAGAACAGGAGCGCACTCCCCCCCTTTCCTTTCAGTCTCCCGGACGTTTCCATGGAGACCGAGGCGGGCTCTGTGGAGGCCCTCTGCGTTACCATGGAGACCAGCGCAGGCTCGGCGCTGCTGCAGGTTCAGCACCACGGAGAGCGGCGTTCGGCCACTGCCTCTGCCGCCAGGTGGGATGCTCGGAAACACTACCTGCTCATCGTCATCGGGGACATCGCCACGGAGAGCCAGCTGCAGGCTGTGAGGGATCACCTGGAGCACGGTGAGCAGCTGGCTCCGTAACGGGTGCCCGCTCTGTGTAAGGCATTGCAACAGTGCTAAGCGGGCATGATCGGTGCAGCTGGAGTGTGCCTGTGTCGGAATGCGTGTGTGGTTGTAGCGCGATCCTCTGCAAGTTCGGGAGTAAAGTTTGTCTGTGGATGTGCAGTGTGCGATCGACCCATCGTATGGGTGAGAGATGTGTACGGGGTGATTGTCTCCTTATTTCCCTGCTAGTTCATGTATTTGCTTCCATGGAACGATGTACTGCTGGGATCCTAAATACTAAAAGCTGCTGCATGGAGTTGGGATGGCGTATACCTTGCCTGATATTCCACTGCAGTAGTGTTATTCATTGTGTCACCCAAACTTAGACTCCCCCATGTATGCAGTGCTCTGCAGTCATACAGGGAGCACAAGGTGCACTGACACTTTTATCCTGATAGAGAAACTCCCAACTCAACCTAAAATACTTTATAAAGGAAAAGGATATTAATGTAACAAAAAGAAAAAAGTCCAATGAGATGTGAAAATGGTGGTAAACTAAAGATCCTTATCCTTGCGTAAAGCTTTGTCAATTAAGCTACTATAAATAAAGTTATTCTAAATCTTCATATGAAGCCGGCTAGTAAACGGCATGGCTTAGACATCTTTGTATCCACTACAGTTACTTATTAATTGATGATCATAATGATTAATTACAGCATTGCACTGTACCGGGGGGG